GCAACGGAAAAAGCTAAAAAGAAAAAAGCGCAAAAAATGCGCAACGGATAAAGCGCAAACAGAAAAAAGCGCACACAGAAAAATACGCGAAGAGAAAATTGTGCACACAGAAATACGCGCAAAGAAAAATAGAGAAAAATGCGCAAACAGAAATTGCGCTAACAGGCAAATGCGTAAAGAGAAAAATGCGCAAACAGAAAGATGCGCACACAGAAAATTGTGCACATAAGAAATGAGCGCAAGACAATGGTGGGGTATGGGACTGTCTAAACAGACATTGTAACCAAGGATACTAAGCAAGACAATGGTGGGGGTTGGTACTGTCTACACAGACATTGTAACCTAGGATACTATGCAAGACAATGGTGGGGGTTGGTACGGTCTACACAGACATTGTAACCAAGGATACTAAGCAAGACATTGGTAGGGTTGGTACTGTCTACACAGACATTGGTAGGGTTGGTACTGTCTACACAGACAATGGTAGGGTTGGTACTGTCGACACAGACAATGGTGGGGTTGGTACTGTCGACACAGACAATAGTGGGGCATGGTATTGTGTGAACATATCCCGGCAGGTTTTATCAAATAAAAAAAAAATATTTAAAAAAAAACTATTTCACAAAGGACCGTCACATACTTTAGACCAATTGTTTTTATCACCATTACACGATTTTAACAAATAGATTTTGCGATTTTGTAATAAAATAGGATATTACCCCCAACCCTTTCCTGTAAAACAATTTAACGAAAATGAACATGTTTTTGACTTGAGTTACCCCTCCTATACAGCATAACCTCATCTGTTGGATGACTCCCACTCCCACCCTCACCCCCACCCAAGGTAGAACGGTGTGGTCGAATGGTAGAGCGCTCGACTGCTAGTCCGGTTCGGCCTTGTGACTGTAGTACCTCATTGAGTCCACCCAAACTCAATGGGTACCTGACTTTATTTGGGGAAAGTAAAGTTAGGCACAGTGCTGATCACACCATCCCTTACACATGAACTCGAAGGTATTTGCCTAGTGAGTTGCTAGATATTAAAATGAGTCTTTATTTTTTTTAAATTGGATAATCCCTGACACACACACACACACCTAGAGTTGAACTACACAATTCCACCCCACTGTGTCCGGATGCGTTGTATCAAGAAACTTTATTTACAAAATACCTGGGCTTGCAACCCCCCAACTAGCGTTACACACCACCTAGCCACGCCAGGACAAGCACATTAAAAAGTGCGTTTTTAAATGTTGGCTTTAAATTTAAAATTCTCAATTTGTTAACTAAATTAACAACACGGACAACTTTTACGACTAAACTTTCACAGATTATCTATATAATACAAAAGACAGACTTCATTTGTCTAGAAACTAGACCAAAGTCACCCTAACCTCTAACGTTATTTTGATGAAGCTGAAAGACACGAACGGTAAAGTCAACGTTTACTGTGTCAACCCCCCCCCCCCCCCACCCATCCCACCTTTCCCACCCACCCCCCGCATCCCCATCTCTTCAACACTTAAACAAACACACACTTTCCGTCAACATTGTTTCAATTGTAACCTCTTTTAAAAACAAACACAGTTCGAGACGTACATAATAGATCTTTTTTTTCCCCCAGCATTGTTTTAACCCCGAGTTGTTTCTTTTGTAACGAATTATTTCCCTTTCCTTTGTTAAGCTACCTACCTCGCTCATCCTTGGCTACGTTAAGCTTACCGTAAGCCCTCTCAAATGCAAACAAGGAAACGAAAAAAAAAGATTTACATAGAAAACAATACCTATGCTCCTTAGTCTTTTCGCTTGCAAAATCTTTTTGTTTACAAAACAAACTAGTAAACACAAGCAGTAGGCAGAAGGTGATAGTTGCGGACTTAAAAAAAAAATAAGATGTTAGTTTTATGGACTAGCGCAGTGGTTCTAACCTTTCTAGAGTTACCGAACCCAACCAGTCTCCTGTGCGTATTTACCGAACCCTTCATCACATTTTTAACGTCCGCATTGACACAATTCAATCGTGAATCATAGGAGTCGGGTTTATGTCTTGACCTCCCTCGCAGTAAAAATAAAAACCCTGGGGTTCCATTGAACCCTGGTTAAGAACCATTGGTCTAAGAAAATAACAGCGTATTCGTAATTTTTTTTATAGCAATCATTAATTAATTTTTAAATTTAAAAATTTTAAACGACGAACTATGTTAAAATTCTTGTTATATTGCATGGAAAGTTTTTAAAAATCTGTTTGGTAAATGCTGATGAAATTATGTTTACAATTTTTAAACCATAACAGACAGAATAAAAACAGTAAAAGAGGGGGGTATCGTCCTTAACGACCATCTGATAGTGTTTTAAAGCAAATATTTTCAGTGGCAGCATTGGTACTGTCGAATTCACAAATTATGAATTACTGAAAAGTAGAAAATAAAACAACTAAATAGCGGCGTATCATTAGCGTCGTATGATACGCCAGTCGGCTCATGATAAATAAAACAGTAAGATGAAGAAAAGAAATACACCATATACCACAATAGATCAAGAAATAAGATAACCATTATATGATGTATCAAACAGGAAGATGCAGACTACTTAAAAAACAACGCAATCTATTCTTTGTGGGTCGTTTGTATGTGTGTGTTTCTGTGTGTGTGTGTGTGTGCGCGCGTGTGTGTGTGTGTGTGAGTGTGTGTGTGTGTGAGAGAGAGAGAGAGACAGCAGTTTTTTTTAACTGCCCGTCTTTTTGTTGCATTTCTTTTGTATTTCATTCCATTTTATCTCTTCCTCATCATTGTTTTTGTTTTTGTTTATTTAATGACCGGTCACGTGATTTGTCGTGTCAAAGGTCATCTGTGTTACATTTACAATGACGAGCCTAAGCAGGATGCAGTGTACACTGTTTAAGTGATTAGACCTGTTTTAGGTAAACTGACCGGAGGTAGTTACTGTCCACATCTATTGGGTAACAACAACAAAGCGATGAGCTGTACTATACTCAGCTAAACAGGGAGATAACTCTTTGAACTTTTTAAAACTGTAACTGTTGACTTCTCTTTTAAAAAAACGAAACAACGACAGGCCTACTTTAAACTAGTTTTGTTATAGTTTGTGCGTTGTTCCAAAATAACAAACAAAAAAAAAACAAACAAAAAAAACTAAAAAAAAGCAACAACAAAAAAAAAAAAAAATAAACTAAAAAAATTACCACTATGTATGAACCATTGATTCGACAATGTTTATGTACATTTGTATGGCAACTTTTCAACTCATTAAACCACAAGTTATTGTTTTAAACCAAGTTATTGTTTCAAACTAAAACAAAACAAGCCATGGAGCACTGAGTCTATTACGCAATCATTCTCTTGATTGATGTCTCTCATTGACCTTAAACTACCAGTAGGACTAGATCTTTTTGTTTTCATTAGATTTAAGAAAGATAAATTAGAATTAATTGTATAACTTTATATGACGTTTGTTGAGTTGGTCTTAGGTGCTTTGACCATAGGGTCTTTGACCATAGCGGGGCTTTGACCGCAGAGGGGGGTTAACCATAGATTTTAAAATAAAAATTAGAAACTGTTATTTGATTCAAATTTATGATACAATTCATATGATTTTATACATATTTCCTGAGAGTCCATTCACTAAAATTAACATGTACTGAAAAAAGTCAATAACGATATTTTAGTCTCCACATAAAGGCTGGTGCTAGACCTCATAGTTTTATTTTAAATATAAATGGAATGCAAATAATGAGACATAAAAAGTTTCACAAATAAATAATGTAGATGTACCTGAAAATACATAGCATTTATTAAGGATAAAAAAAAGCATGCCAACAGTATAGTCAAAGAAGTAATATTTGTATGGTTAACTAATGTGCTATAGAACGCAAGTATGTCAGTACATCTGTTTGACCATATGTCAGTACATCTGTTTGACCATATGTCAGTACATCTGTTTGACCATATGTCTGAACAGCACGTTGTACTTTTTCGTGCAGCATTCTGTATTCGTCTCAGCTGGGTAGCTAGCTCCTGCGATATCTAGCTTAAAAGTTGTCTTTTGCTGTGTGCAGTCCATATGTAGACATTCAAGGAAACGCCACATTGTTGGGTGGCTACATTGGAGGAGAGACTGAAGACTGTAATGCCATCCTTAACAAATGTTATTTGTTCGTGCTACACCATCGCCAATCGTGTGTATTTGATTTCAAGTTTTAAAATTAATCCGTACCATTTATGGACAAAGCGCTTGTTATCAAACGCTCGCATTGGACAAACCGCCTGTGATCAAAGACCCTCTTCTGCGAAAACGCTGGTGGTCAAATCCCCTAAGGACAAAGCACCTATGGTCAAAGCCCCGTTATATTCAAAGCCCCGCTATGGTCAAAGCCCCTATGGTCAAACCCTAATATGGTCAAAGCACGTGTGGTTAAAGGTCCGCGCACCGTTGAGTTCTTCCTTATATTACAAAATTACAAGTATTTGTGTTTAATTAAATTAAAGAAATATAATTTGCAAATAATTAATTAGACAATGCAAGAGGGTGTTTGTGTCACTTCTCTCTATCTAATATAATGACGAGAATTGTTTTTAATTACATTAAAGAAAATAATTTATGAATCATCGGATATCGCTAGAGGGCGTTTGTGTGACGTCTCACCAATCAGAACACAGAGCCTAACTCTACGCCCAAAAGCTCCTTCTTTCTGACACAACTCCACCACAAAAAAGTCACAAAGTAAATAACTGTACGGATAAAAAAATCAACCTTCATTACACCTTCATTAAAAACAAATAAACTTTTCAAACATCCTGTAAAACGACATTCGTCTTGTTTCCCATTAAAATAACTTATTCGCCCTTTAGCGCCAATTCATGACGTAAGCAGCACGTGATCGCTGCATTAGCGTACAAACTAGGTCAGGGTAAAGGTCAGAGAGGGGCGAAGTTGTCCACCCCTTCGTCCAATGCAAAAGGCTAAGCGTAGGTAAAGAAAGGTATAAATAGTGAGCCGAAGCGACCAGACCATAATATAGGCTAGCTGTAATTTTTTTAAAAACTTGTACAAAATTGTAAAAAAAAAGTAATTAATTAATTAATTAACATGGATGGAAAATTATTACTCACCGTGTGTGTGGTACTGGTCTTGTCGTGTTACGTGCATGCTCAACGAGGGTCAGGAAGGGTGAGTTACATTTTCTGTGTGCTTATTTTATTTGTGTTGTTATTATTATTTTAAATTAATATTGTTACTATGTAGGGCCCTATAATTATGTTATTTTTAATTGTTAATACTATTTTTACTGGTACTATGCTACTACTACTACTACTACTACTACTACTACTACTACTACTACTACTACTACTACTACTACTACTAACTACAACTACTACTGCTACTTCTACTACTACTTTTGTTGTTATTATTATAATTATTATTATCATTATTGTTATTATTATTAATATTTATTACTATTATTATTGCATTTCTTGAAAATAAAAATAACAAGTTTATATTTATAACTATTTCCTGCAAATGTAACTTCCACATTTAGAAACTCACACATTTATCTAAGAACATTAGAAAAAGATAATTTGAAATCATAGCGAAGAAATTATCAATATTTGTCATATTAATCGAAAAATAATTTACAACGGTGCCTTATAAATGTGAAGAATGATAAGGCTGTTAGCTCAGTGGCCAGTCTAATTGGTTCGGAAACTTTAAGGAAAAATATTTACTCCACAGCAGATACAATGGCCTTGTTTAATTTTCTGCCCCTGAAAACTAAACCCGCTAATAGGTACTTAATCCGCGTATTAAAGCTTCATCGGCGACTGTGGATAACTTACCGCGAAACACATTTGAATTACGCATTCAACACCATTTCGAAGATTAATATAAATAACCCTATTTGAGCCAAAGTTAAGTTAACGAACAGTTGCAGATAAATTTTAAATGGTTGACATGGGTAGGGTAATTATTCCATCTTTAGCCTGAGACATTCAATGTTCATGTTATAAAATGTTTATAGCTAGCAGTTAGAAACACAGGGCTACATTACACCACCACGGTTTAGGGTTACTTAGACCATTTTAAAAAAAATTAATTAGTCTCACTATGAGTAATTGATCAGTTAGCCTTTGACATCTAACTAAGCGAATAAGTTGCACTCTTTGAATGTCTAGTTAACCCTAAACACTAATTAAAACTAAAGCCTTAAAAACTAACTTTAGCAATAAACCTGCTTACTTTTCAAATACCTTCATAGTTTCTCAAAAGGTTTTTTCCCATCATCAAAGTTCGCCTAGGCTCCAAGCCAATGATTCTCAACATTTTGAGGTACAGAACCGCAATAGTTTCAAATGAGCATTCACACAACCCTTCTTAATAGTTCTATCGTTCGCACAAACAAGATCGAATCGTGAATCATATGAGTCTGTGTGTTTCTTGTCCTCAGCCGAACCCCTGAGATTGACTCACCGAACCCCTGTGGTTCGATCGAACCCAGGTCAAGAACCTAAACATTTTTATATATTGTTTAGTGGTGGCATAAAAATAAACACTAAAGCAACAACACACTTGCTGCTGTATTGAAAGTGATTATACCAATGATCAGTTAACTACGTTCTACTGACCGACTTCATCGGTCGTTTGAGCTCTACTGAGTTTTAAAGGATACCTGGCGAATATTGGCTGAACACGAAAAAAAAAAAAACCAACACGTGCAGTACACGCCCTGGGTATGGAAGACTCACGAGTTAGCTGCTAGTATTCCTAAGTCCTTCTTGACACTACTCAAAACAGACTCTGACGATAGTTTGTTTTTTTTGTCAACGTTTTTCACCTTTTCTTTTCCTCCTCATGAACGTGAGGAGCACTATGATTTTCATCTTAAATAGACAATTTCTTATAGTTGCGACTATATAAATATATATGTATATGTATATGTATATGTATATGTATATGTATATGTATATGTATATGTATATGTATATGTATATGTATATGTATATGTATATGTATATGTATATGTATATGTATATGTATATGTATATGTATATGTATATGTATATGTATATGTATATGTATATGTATATGTATATGTATATGTATATGTATATATATATATATATATATATATATATATATATATATATATATATATATATATATATATATATGTATGTGTATGTGTGTGTGTTGTACGTATGTATATATAAAATGTCTATGCTATATCTGAGTGTAGGTTCGGGGAGGCAACAGACAAAGACGTCCCATAACTCCACCAGAGGGCGACAGGTACACGTGGTCACGTGACCTTGGTGATGGCGTCTCAGTGGAAGAGGCCGCCTTTGTGCCAAAGTAAGTTCTTAGTTACTTTGGTTTCAAGTAAGTTCTAAGTTACTTTGGTTTCAAGTAAGTTCTAAGTTACTTTGGTTTCAAGTAAGTTCTAAGTTACTTTGGTTTCAAGTAAGTTCTAAGTTACTTTGGTTTCAAGTAAGTTCTAAGTTACTTTATGCCCAAGTAAGTTCTAAGTTACTTTGTGCCAAAGTAAGTTCTAAGTTACTTTGTGCCAAAGTTAAGTAAGTTCTAAGTTACTTTGTGCCAAAGTAAGTTCTAAGTTACTTTATGCCCAAGTAAGTTCTAAGTTACTTTATGCCCCAGTAAGTTCTAAGTTACTCTTTTACCAAGTAAGTTCTAAGTTACTTTGTTCAACAAGTAAGTTCTAAGTTACTTTGTTCAACAAGTAAGTTCTAAGTTACTTTGTTCAACAAGTAAGTTCTAAGTTACTTTGTTCAACAAGTAAGTTCTAAGTTACTTTGTTCAACAAGTAAGTTCTAAGTTACTTTGTTCAACAAGTAAGTTCTAAGTTACTTTGTTCAACAAGTAAGTTCTAAGTTACTTTGTTCAACAAGTAAGTTCTAAGTTACTTTGTTCAACAAGTAAGTTCTAAGTTACTTTGTTCAACAAGTAAGTTCTAAGTTACTTTGTTCAACAAGTAAATTCTAACTTCCTCCTCTCGCAATATTCATAGGGCATGTCACGTTTATTTATAGCCTACTAATAATTTTACAATTTTATTGTGCTGAAACTTAAAAAAAAAAATTCTCACTTCCCCTCTCCAGTGACACGTCAATTATTTATCTGCGGTCCTTCAGTGACAACTTTACCATTATATTTTACCATCATGACATTTACCCCCTTCCCCCCTCGACACACACACTTACCCCCCCCCCCCCCCCCCTCCCTCACCACAATATGTTTTGCAGTTATGTTTATTCATTTTAAAAAAATAATTCTTATCGACCCTTACAGCGATACCAACATTGTGTTACTCCGTTCATTCGACGACAACCTCAGGGCCCGTAACTACAGCAAAGGGAGCACACTCTACGACTTCACCACACCAGATGCCGTAAGTCGTAGTTATTTTTTTGAATTACCTACTCTTGTCTACATTTGGTCTACTTCAGTTAAAAAAACACAACAGTAGAGAATTTTAAATTTTACATTAATATCCTGTGTCTGATTTAGACACGATAAGGAACCAGAGGCGTAGCGACAGGGGGGGGGGGGTGGTTAATTTGTCCCCCGGCGCCAAAACAAAAAGCTCATTTTAGCTGCAGCTTTGAGTTATAAATATAGCTTCATCCTATAGCTAATCTAAACCTTAATCCAGAGGCGTAGCGAGGGGGGGGGGGGAGGGTGGGGGGGGGGGACGGGACATATGTCCCCGGGCGCCGACCTTAGAGGGGCGCCAAATTGAAAGTTTGAGGGGGGTGCAAATGAAAAGTTCGAGGGGGGGGGGGATGCAAATGAAAAGTTCGAGGGGGGGATGCAAATCGAAAGTTTGTCCCCGGGCGCCGGGAAGGGTCGCTACGCCTCTGCCTTAATCCCAAGTATAATGAAATATCTTTTATTTTGTGCTTGTTTGTCGAGTCAAACATAATTTAGGTTATTTAAAAATCTTGATAAATAAAGATTCTATTAAAGCCCTAATTAGATTTAAAACTATTTCTTAAAAAATGCAGCTTATGTTAAAAAAATTAAATTATTTATTGGAGAAAGCATAATGCCGAAATTACATTAGTTATTAAAATATATGTCTTTTTTTTTGCATACGTTAAAACAACAGTTTTAAAGTTTTGTATATGAAGTAAACTATAGCCTTGAATTGTTTCAACTGAAAAAAAAAAGCTACTATACATAATGGAGGCAAGGTATGTATTTATGCTGAGTTGACCAACTTAAAAAAAGGAAAACAAAATACAACAAAATGCTGATAATTTTAATTATTGACTATTATTAATAATTTTAATTAGTGACTAGTAAATTCAATATCATTAAAAGTCTATATCATCACCTGTCAATTAAAGAAAAAAAAATGCCCTTAGGCGTCCATCATTCTACGTCAAATCTTCTAAACCTAGCAAAAAAACATAAACGTACATGCCAGGGGGAGATTACTGAGAATTAACCTGACAAGGGAGAGTAATCAATCCTCATCAATTAAGTCTTCAGTGTCAACATCCTAGTCATGCTATAATTAATGTAAAGTTAACAAGATAAATTAGTAGTACACACTTTGATGTTAAGAAGATTAGTTAGTAGTACAAACTTTAATGTTGACAAGATTACTAGTACACATTTTGATTTACACGATTACTGGTACACATTTTTATTACTTTCTCGTATATACGAAGTATAGAGAGAAAGTATTGTAATCGTGCACAAGAATAACATGAAATTTTGACAGTTTTCACCGTTTTACTCCTCAGTCCTTCATCACATCCGGAGTATAGAGGACTTATTTTAATCGGGCAAAAATTATCAATCCAGATCTATCAAAATTAAGAGGTTTTATGCGTAATCCAGTCTGAAAAACTGGGCTTTGCAATTCTGTCCGTATGTCTGTGTTTCTGTCTGTCCGTGTGTAAACACGATAACTTGAGCACCGTTATAGCTAGGTTGATGAAATTTCATATATAAGTATTTTATCAAAATCGTAGATCCGTATCAACTTTTGAGCGATTTCCGATAACCGGAAGTGGTACTTTTTCTACTTTGAATTTTTCAAAAGCCTATAACTTGAGTACTATTTTAGATAGATAAATGAAATTTCATATGTAAGTATAAGATCTAATTCTCTACCTCCTGTCAAATTTTGAGTAATTTCCGTTGACCGGAAGTAGTAATTTACGCTACTTCCGATTTCTCAAAAAACTAATGTAAATTTGTAAAGTACTAATAATATTGCGCACTATTATGCACTTTTTTATTTGGCGTTCACTTGATGTGCAATTCTTTTGTCTACGAGATTTTATTCTATTTTTAAAACTTTAAGTATTTAAAATGGATTAAAAATCATGTCTATAGCCCGAGTTCCCATCCCCTGTTATTTTATATAAGAATATTCGAGAAAGTTTAGGGGAAATCACTCCCGGTTTATTTTACACGATTACTAGTACACATTTTGATTTTACACAATTACTAGTACACATTTTGATCCTAACAAGATTATCAGTACACACTTTCATCCATCATTTTAACACGCACTTCTAAACCTTAACACAAAATCTTAAAGCAGATAGAAAAATCAAGCATAGACATAGATCTATATAATATACTTTATTTTTAGCACCTGGTCATGTAAAGATTATTTAAGATTTAGAGCTTTGAAGTTTTTAAAATAGCCCTTTTGAAAAGTGTTAGATCTCTAGCAAACAATGAACTTATAGCCCTATTAAAATATACATCTAAGCAGCATCTATTTGTTAAATAGGGCTGGTAAGTAGGTCACCAACCAGTTCTACGGCTCAATAAAACCTGCATGAGCCATAGAACTGGTTGGTGACCTACTTACCAGCACTATTGATACGTGACTTATCGTGGCATCACATACTAGTAGTAAAGTACCATTTCGAAATTGACGGTGCTCGCGGAAGGTGAAACAGAGTTCACCTGTTTCTGTGACCTCGGTATATGAAGAGATAGTGTGGTCACACAATTCCCAGCTGCCTTTACTTTTCCTAACATAGGCTAGGTACCCATCTCCAGCTCGGGAACTGAACGTTAGACTTTCATATTAGGAGTCGTGCGCTCTACCTTTTGACCACGCCGTCCTCTTAAAGGGCAAAGGTTTACCCAATTTTTGACATTTGACCTTTTCATTTCAGCTTGTGGTCATCGGCATCTTTGGCCCCTGTTTTGTGACCAACACCAACTTGACCTTCCAAGCCGTGGTGGACGAGCTGGCCGCTAGGAATGTGAGTTCGAATCCTGTTTTAGCTCAGTACATCCTGTACCCTCTTGATCTTCTTTAATAGCCATTGAGATGGTTTTAGTCTTCTTCTTCTTCCTTTCTAATTTTTAAGTATTGGGAGGGATCGAGCCTTATCTGCCAGAGGGTTTGAACTCGAGACTTTTTTCGAATTTATCAACCATGAGCTTTTGCCGACTCGATCATGCTTCCATCACAATTAAGGATTACGTGTCAACTGGTTATGCGCCATTGAGGCCATTGACTCCGATTTCAGCCTGCTTTTCTTTTTGGATTTGCTTCCATAGCCTTTGTCCAACCAAGAACAAACTACAAGGCAGCAGTTGTTTGATTTTGGAGTTGTCTCTCCTAGAAGAGTGGCTGTTCCCAGCTAACTAACCTCATCTGCCCGATGAGGTTTTAGTAAAAAAATTCGAAATTTAAATTTGTCATAATAGTAAACTATTGATGCTTTATTATATAATACTAGCAAAAGTTGAAACAACGCCAATGTTATAAACTTATGGATAGTTAAATATACTTAAAGAACGAAGACGATGTAGAAAAAAACAGTGAAGAAGACATACCTAATACTTTTACAGTTGACCACTGGTTAAAGTATAACAGTAATAGTTAGTGAGGCTACGGACAAGTTTAATTTTGTATAAAATATTGATTACTACTAGTTAAAGCAAGAAATTTAATAGCTAAGGAGAGAGAGAGAAAAAAAGACTTTTCTAGCTGTGAAAATTAATCAGTTCTTATGATCTTAACGAGATTAGAAGCATTCACAATATACATCACAAGTGCCTTGCTTTATGATACAAGGATACATTGTATAACATCAGTGGCGTAGCGAGGTCGGGTGTCACCCGGTGCGGCACTTAATGGTGTCACCCCCCCAGAGGCGTAGCGACCCTTCCCGGGGACAAACTTTCAAATTTTCGATTTGCACCCCCCTCCCCCTCAAACTTTCGATTTGCACCCCCTCAACTTTTTCTCTTTATATTTTGCTATTTTTTGCCTTGGTGTCACCCCCCTAAATGGTGTCACCCGGTGCGGTCCGCACCCCCGCCCCCCCCCCCCCTCGCTACGCCCCTGTATAACATACAGTAGTAGCTTTACAGTCGTAGCTTTATGAAGCCAATGTGACCTAGTATTAACTCAGCCACTGATCTAATCCACCAGGGTTCCAGCGTCAACGCCACCGAGCTGGTGTATCTGGATGGCACCATGGCGCCCCTCTCTCTGCCAGAGACTGAGGCCCTCTTTACCACCAACCCCGCCGTCCGTCGGGCGTGTAGGGACGGTCGGGTGGTCATCACAGTACCGCTAGGGGGTAAGTGCACAGTACTCTATCACAGTACCTCTAGGGGATAAGTGCACAGTACTCTATCACAGTACCTCTAGGGGATAAGTGCACAGTACTCTATCACAGTACCTCTAGGGGGTAAGTACACAGTACTATATCATAGTACCTTTAGGGGGTAAGTACGCAGTACTATATCACAGTACCTCTAGGGGGTAAGTACGCAGTACTATATCACAGTACCTCTAGGGGGTAAGTACACAGTACTCTATCATATTAGCTCTAGAGGGTAAGTACACAGTACTCTAGTGCCTCTAGGGGTAAGTACACAGTGCCACAGTACCTCTGGGGGTAAGTACACAGTACTCTATCATATTAGCTCTAGGGGGTAAGTACACAGTACTCTGTCACAGTACCTCTAGGGGGTAAGTACACAGTACCGCAGTATCTCTAGGGGGTAAGTACACAGTACTATATCACAGTACATCTAGGGGGTAAGTACTCAATACTTTATCACAGTACCTGCATGTGTTATGTGCACAGTACTCTATTACGTCATATCACTTTTAGGGTTAAGTACACAGTAGGCCTACTCATTTCGTCGCAGTCGGTTAAGATGTTAAGTGCATAGTACACATTACATAACAGTACTTTTTAGTGTTGTGTGCACACGACTCTATCACATTACCTTTCGATGGTACCTGCACAGGGGGTATCACAACACACTCCAAGCCCCACCCCCTATTATTTTCGCTGAAAACTTTCCTTTACCTTTGTGTCATTTCTTTTTACTTACCTTAACTGAATCTATTTACACCTGCATTAAACAGCACACCGTCATATTAATAAGTTTTTCTCGTGCGCATAGGTTTGTTTTAGCTGAGCTTGTAAATAAATGTGCTAATATTTGTAGGTGCATCTATTTCTTTATGTGAGTTTCTAAGTAAATATGTAAATATGTGCGAATAACAAACACAATCCCACCTCTAATAACACACTCCACCCCTGCCCTAGTAACACACTACCCCACCCCTAATAACACACTACCCCAAACAGAAAAAACACACACTACATTACTACCAACAATAAAACACACTACCTACCCACATTAACGCATACTACACAACCCCTAATAGAATACACCACCCACCCCAAATGACACACAATACCCCACCCCTAACAGAACACACCACCCCACCCCTAACAGAACACACCACCCCACCCCTAACAGAACCCACCACCCCACCCCCAATGACACCCACCACCCCACCCCTTGTTTACCCAGACCCTCTAAACAATCACACACTGGAGACGTTACTCGTATGTTCTCACCAGCTTTCGGTAATTACACCATCAGTGTTGACATAAGAACCGAGCCACACAGTGTTGAGATAATTTGTTTTCACAAATACTCTCTAAAATGTTTCATTGTTCAATGAACTTTACTCAGTGCTAATGACGTCTCGCACGCTACATGCGGGTAAACAGCGAACTAAATAAACAATGAGCATTCCATGTTTGTGTTTGCTTTGTATTGTAATGACCAGTGCTCCAACAATTTGCCTACTGTGAACGTAAAACAATATAGGCTAATGGGGAGGGTGGGCTAGAAAAAACCCTTAAAAATTTTAGGATTCTAAGCGGAATTTATAAATTAAAAACAAATTCTGAGGTTTGACAACTCAAAAAAAAAAAAAAAAAAAAAAAAAAAAAAAACATCAGCTGTTACGTAACAAAATGTAAACACAATTCAAAGTCTATAACTGTAATTGAAACTAACTTTCTACTTACCGCCTCTTTTGGTTTATAAGTAGTGTGTATGTTTCTAAAAGTATATATCGAGGGTATAGAAGACAAATGCAGTATGTCCAAAAAACATAATTTCGAGAAAAATGAGTTTATAAATCTCATTCCAATATTAAAATAGTGCAAAATATTATGTTTAAACATTCATAAAATATTTGCATTCTGCTTTTCTGGCATTGTACATAAGTGTTTATGATACTGTATTATTTACAGTATCATTTTAAATGTACATCGATTTGACCTAAAAAGTGGACATACTGCATTTGTCCTCTATACCCTCGATATATATATATATATATATATATATATATATATATATATATATATATATATATAGATATATATATAGATATATATATATATATATATATGTCTCTGCGGGTGTGTGTGTGTGTGTGTGTGAAGAACAGGCTGGTACCGCCTATGACTTGATCTAATTGTTACATATTTTACTCCCCAGCCAACCCAACCCCCTTCACTGGCGAGACCGAAAACGTCGTCGTCTCCGTCCTTGACGCCGCCATCAGCATCACCATCCAACAACGACCCCGTAGGAACTTCTTCCCCGGGCAAGGCTTCGGTCGCCCCGCCTTCCCCAACCAACGATTCCCCGGTCAAAACCCACCCCCCTTCCCCGGTCAAAACCCATCTCCCTTTCCCGGTCAAAGCCTTCCCCCTTTCCGTGGACAAAACCCACCCCCTTTTCCCGGACAGAACCCCAGATTCCCCGGACAGAGCCTCGCACCTTTCCCCGCCGGTCAAGTTAACCCCAGCACCCCAGAAGCCTCTACTGATTCCACAACTGCCCCCACGACCCCTGTGGTACCCGTTTAAAGACGGCAACACCCCTAGGATCAACCCCACCCTCGACAGCAACAAAACCAACGAATTCACTAGAATCAGCATTACCACTTCTACTGCCAACTTTCTATAAAAAACCTGCACCCGACTAGATGTCTTCAGTGATGTTCAGTAACGTAACAATTAATATTGCATCTAAATATTTACAAAGAATAAATAAATACATAATGTAGAATGATATTGCTGTTTTGTTTTTATTTACTTCTTTGAAGGTTCAAATAAACAGTATAAATTTTAATCAATACACGTTTTCTAGTTTTTTTTTTTATAAAACACACTGTACTTCATATATCACACACAACACATAATCACCAAAATACAGAATAAACACTTAACTATAAAAATAAACCCTGTAATAAATTAGGAAAGGCGTGGCCAGGTGATAGAACAAAAGACTACTAGCCCGAAAGCTTCGAGTTTGTATATAGGGAGTCCGTAGTGCGTCCCTGAGTTCACCCAGCTCTAATGGGTACCTGACTCAAGCTAATGCAACCAACGGCAGTTAGGTTTGAACTGACCACATACACGGGTAACTCTACTTCATCTGCCATATTGACGTAAAGGGTAACGTTTCTTTCATGAAAAGAAAATTACAGGGATTATAAACTGTACAATGACTACAATTTAAAAATGCTGGATGCTTTTTAATAATTTATACTCGCAAGCATTTATCTGAATACCTGAAGATTCCCCCTCCCCCATACCCCCCGAATATCCGGTTGTTGGTCATTAAAAAGACGGCGGTTTATTTTTTATCAAAAGAGTTAGTTTTAAAAAAAGCAAAGGGACGTAACAATGATAAATACGAATAAAATAGAACGCTAAAAGTTACATCCCTTGACAAAAAAATATTTTTTTTTGGTAAGGGGATGACGTAAAAGTTTAACTTAAAAGGGGCATCTATTTGACTTTTTAGTTTAATGATGGTGTAGGGGTTAGAATTCAGCACAAAAACGTGCAATATTATTTTAAAGACTGCTGTCTTGCACATAGATAAAATTATAAGCTGGTAGTGAATACAAAAATCTGACGATCGTGCCAGAAAAATATTTAAAATTGGTTTAAATAAATGCAGTCTGGCAAGTTAAAAACAAAACAAAACAAAAACATCACGTGTTTTAAAATGGCAGCTGACAGCTTTCTGTAATACACGCGTTTATTGTAGACGTTTTTTTCTTGCAGACAAGTTTTTCTTCGTGTGTTATTTCTGTAACAGTTTGCGCACCAAATTTTCAAATTTTCATCTTTATATTAAAAAAAAACCTGCACATCACCTTGCACCATTCTAGAACCTCCACGACTAAACAAAGCCTACGCTACGCATTCAGGAGTTCTACAACTTTGTCATGAAGCTTGTCGTTTCTTCGCTGGTCCGGTCACTCCGGCGTTTCTCAGCGGCCGCAGATGACAAAATAGTCGTCGACCGTGCCGCTCCGTGCATCAGAAAGAGGTTCAAGGACTACCCGTACCCGTCTGAAGACAATATGTCTCGTAAGTCTTGTTTTGTTAGGGGCTGTGTATGTCACAGATAGTGGCGTAGCGAGGAGGGGCGGGAGGTGCGGACACCATTTAGGGGGGGGGGGGGGTGACACCAAGGCAAAAAATAGCAAAATATATAAAGAAAAATGATAATTCCACTTAAGTAAGTGATTAATTCGAGTGTTAAATAGTCTTTTAAGAGGTGCAAATTGAAAGTTTGATGAGGGGGGAGGGGGTGCAAATCGAAAATTGAAAGATTGTCCGCGGGAAGGGTCGCTACGACTCTGGGGGGTGACACCATTAAGTGCCGCATCGGATGACACCCGACCTCGCTACGCCACTGGTCACAGACATGACATCATTGGCATGGCATCACAATGTCAACATGGCATCAGCTTGACATTAATATGGCATCATCGAGTTGTCAACATGACATCATCAAGGCATTATATAACATGATGTTAATATAACGTGAATATGAACTATACATGAAGTCATGATATCAACGTGAGGTCAACATATCGATAGGATGTCATCAATATGACATCAGTTTGGCATTAAACTTGATATAAAGTACATTAAGATGACATTAGCAATATAATAACATGGCATTAATATGACATCAACATGACATCAATTTGGCATTAACATGACATCAACATGACATAACTACAGCATGACATCACAACATCAACATGTCAGCATAACAACTTATCATTAATATGACATCATTATGTCAACATGACATCAGCCATGCATAAACCTGACATATATATGTCATAAGTATAACATGACATCCATATGACATCACCAAGTCATCACTTTGGCATTAACATGACATCTTGACTGCAATATGACATCTGCAAAACTACACCATGACATCACAATATCAAGCATGACAACTTATCATTAACATGACATCAACATGACCTTAACATGACATCATTATGTCAACATGACATCAGCCATGCATAAACATGATATATATATATATATATATATATATATATATATATATATATATATATATATATATATATATATATATATGTCATCAATATACCTTGACATCCATATGACATCATGATAACTAAAGCATGATAATTGTCATCAACATGACATCGGCATGTCATCAGCATAACACCAACATGGCATTACATTAACATTGACAGAAAGTAACTAGAACATTGCCGTTGTATTGAATTCACCACGCCGGTATCGTTAATAATTTATTCAGGCCAAGGTCGGAGTATCGATATTTCCTCTGTATGTACACCCGCAGCACAATACAGTATCGTATCGTTATTTTTCCTTACTGAAACCGGTGTCCGTTTCAGGTTCGTATGTACGAGGCTTATAATACTTGCTAAAACTACGGCTTCGATATGCAATGGTGTATTTATTTTTACAATTACTAGTATGGATATTAGCTATACGACACTTGCTGTTTTTTTTAAAGAAAAATGTAAAGTCTCGAACTAGAATCCCGGGGTTGAGTCTGTAGGACGTCCCTGAGTCCACTCAGCTGTAATAGGTACCTGTCTCAAGTTAAGGAAACTTATAGGGCGGTTGGGCATAGGACTGACTAGACTAATTTATAATATGCCAAGGTCATGGGGACAGGTGAGCTCTGCTACTCCTGCCCTATTGACCTTTAGGTCCCAATAGGGCTGGTAAGTAGGTCACCAAACAGTTCTACGGCTCAATAAAACCTGCATGAGTCATAGAACTGGTTGGTGACCTACTTACCACCCCTATTGGTATGCTTACTTTACATTATGTTTATACTACCGCTTACTTTAGCCAGGGAAGGAGTTTAGCGTTCACACACGTCCATTAGCGAGTCAGATGAAGCCACAAGAACGTCAAGGGCTGGGTGGGAGGTGATGGAAGTCACACACACACACACACACGCAACCACACACATACACACACACACAAGTGATCTCGGCATGTGAATTGACAGTGTGGTCAACATTACGCCAAGCCGCCTTTGTTTCCCTAATGCGAGTCAGGTACCCATCAGAGCTGGGTTGGCTCAGTGTCGTTTTGCGGATCCGAAACGAGACTTTCGGGTTAGCAGTCGAACGCTCTAGCACACAATCAACGCCGTCCCAATAATATGTATTGAACTATAAATAAAAAGAAAATGTAGCAAGAGTTTAGTTGTGTGTATGTTATATATATATATATATATATATATATATATATATATATATATATATATATATATATATATATATATATATATATATATATATATATAATATATATATATATGAATGTGTGTGTGTGTGTGTGTGTGTCTATGTGTATGTGTCACATGATCTATGCACTATTCCCATACACTGTAAACGAGACGTGAGTTATGAGTTAGCGTTTATTTAAATCGTCCGATTGATTCGCTGACGTTAAGAAAACGACGTTCTTCATTTATTTATGTTTATCGACAGGATGAGTGTGTGGGGGGGGGGGGGGGAGAGAAGAAGGGGGGGTATGTTATTATCATTGAAATAAAAACTAATACCCGACAAAGATTGTATGGCTAGTTCGTCCGCCTAGAAAATAAATTGGTTTATAAAAATTAATATATTTTTATGAATTCATTTTCACTCTCTCATTTCTCCCCCCCCCCCCCGCCTACCCCACCACGCCTCCCCCACCCCACCCCACTACAATGTTTATCCTTCTTGTAGAAATCACCTCTAAGAAAACGATTTCCTTAAGACGCAGATTAGCTTTCTAAATTATTAACGCTGCTGTTGCATTTCTTTGTAGCTTCATTACCTAAGCTCTGAGGTGTTTCAAACGATAAATCAGAGTTAAAGAAAGCATTGTTTAGTTTTAAAAAATAATATCTACACGAGAGCTTTGCCCCCGTCAGTTCGCTTATGACAGTGGTTCCCAACCTTTTTCGTTTGGCGACCCCCTTTTATAAAAAGTAAGTGACCCGCGACCCCCATAGAATTAAAAAGCCGAAATTAGTATGGAAATTAATAAGCACTAAAATAAGATTTTCTAGTAGACTTACAATATGAACTACTCTTGGTAACTATTTTAATAGCATGAGCAAAATTGCATACTATTCACTAAACGTTCGTTGTTAAGTTTTTAATTTTAAAATTTTTTGTTAACGCCACCTATGTCATTATAATTATCTTAATTTTGTTTTTAATCCAAGAGTAGTGTTGAAAATATATTCTCGAAAAGTCAATCAATTTTACGTTTGGGTATGAATGGTGAATACTACACCAAAATTGTGTCTTCAGTTTTTCATCTTACTCGGAATCTTTCTGCAAATCAAAGAATTCATCTTGTAATTCATCGGGAATGCTGGCAACATCAAGGGAAGAAGAGAATTGGTAATGCGTAAATGTAGATTCTTCTTTTTTCAGCTCAGAGAAATAGCGATGCAGTTCGTTTTCAAGAGATTCAAGATGCCCAGAAATCGCTTCTTTCAAAATTTTAATTATCTCACAATCAGATTCATCTACCACACTGCAGAGTTTCTCAAATTTAAAATATTTCCAAGATTTATTTTCTTTACAGATTTTGCAGCTTTGATAAAAATGCCCCGAGATTATCATGGAAACATAATATTCGTTCATTTTCCCTGAAGCTGCAGGTTAAGCTTATCTTGATGTTCAAACACATCTGCTAGGTATGATACTCTCTCCAACCACTCTATGTCGTTTTAAGTATACCAAAAAGTCTTGTTTCCTTTGCACTTCCAAGAACAATTTGATTTCAGATTTCAATTCAAAAACACAATTTACAACATTTCGTTTGACAGCAAGCGTACTGTAGTGTAGAAGAGAAGAACCTCGTGATCTCTATTAATTTTTTTACTCAGTTCTTTGAAGGCTCCAAATTTTATATAATTTACGACTTATACTAGCAATGGACTCTTGATGTCGATCGGTTAGGGCAGTGGTTAGGGAGCTAAATCTTTTCTGTTTTCTGAAAGCCCGATATTGAGCTAAACATAGATGGCGCACCATCCGTACAAACCCCCACAGCCGTTCTAGCCCATTTTAATAATCCAGTTTTAAAAAAGGTATGTATTTTCTCCATGCTATCTTCACAAAAGAGCAACTCTTCTGTGCTATCATCCGCATGAATATAGACACAGACCAGCAACTTCGAACACGAACTCACGTCTGTTGATTTATCAACTTGAAAAGCAAACAATGGTGGAAGCTTAATTTCAATAAAAATGTGTTATTTAACATTTACGTACATGCAGTGTTTGATGAGATTTTGTCCTATTTTTTTTTTTTTTTTTTTTTTTGCTTGGCATTTTCTATCGTGACTTCATTTGATGTTTACACTAATGCTGGTGAAAACTTCCTATTCGATCAAGTCTCTGGCGTTTGCAACTAGCTTCTTACCGACGAAAGAACTCCATATATTTTTTGGTGTGTTCCGAATGACTCGTCTCAAATGGCGTTTTAGTTTTGAAGATTTCATAGATTCGTGCCTCAGATCAACTTTGTACAGTGCGCTTTGTTTCTTCTCTATTACATTTCCAGTGATGTTAATGAAGCCGAATTTCAAAAATTCTTCTAAATATTTATGTTTTGTTTTAAATTACTAAGGTTTAGTATACCAGTTGGCGACCCCCCAGAAAGACCTTCGCGACCCCCAGGGGGGTCGCGACCCCCAGGTTGGGAACCCGTGGCTTATGACATCATATTATGTCTTCACCGTTACTATAAATAGAATATAGAGATGATGTAATGCAACTTTTGAAGTTGATTCCACATAGATGTCACGTGTCGCACTCCACAAATTTATTTTTAGAACGCCCACAAGAAGTATTCGATTATGTTTCCTTGCTAATATCGCTACAATAATCCTTGTCGATAAAGTGAAAAAAAAAAGGGGGGGGGGATTATAGATATTAGTGGACCTTGTCCAGATAAGCCCAGCCAAAAAAGTTAACCCCCGCCATTGAGTAAAGTATATAAAAAAAAGAGGAGATAAAACTTGTACTATAGATTTTATTGAAG